AGAAGAAGAAGAAGAAGAAGAAGAAGAAGAAGAAGAAGAAGAAGAAGAAGAAGAAGAAGAAGAAGAAGAAGAAGAAGAAGACGTTTCTTTCTCCACCTTTTGTCTCTCTCACACGAGACTAGATCTAGTTCATCGTCTGGCGGAAGTGCAGATTCTTAATTTATGTTTATTTGTGCGTGTGTTTTTCTGTGGCTTTTGTTTATGTGTTTGTATAGATTTGCATGTGTGTGTTTCGTGCGAGTGAGTGATAAAAAAAAAGTTGTTGAATTTTGACTATTGGTTGATAAAGAAAGGAATTAAAAGATACAATAAGTTAATGAGATATAATGAGCTTTAATCTTTAATTTAAAACAACTTAGACCACAACAAAAACTAAGCTATACAATCATTATCAAACACCATTAAATGAAAATTTATATACCCAGCAGAAAAGGAAACGCATGTCTAAGGACGCGACATTTCAAAATCTGAAAAGTCGTTTTTTAGACTTGCATGGAAAATGCCCTTCGGACATTAAACATTTTTCAAGAAATGGTTCAAGTTTATAGTGACAAATGTTCTCGTTAAAATTCTGTGACATACTGGGAAAGAAAATTCAAATCTGGATTCACGTTGGTGATGGATGAAGTTAATAATAATAATTGCATTTATATAGCGCGTATCCATGCTCAAGAGCATGTTCTACGCACTTTACAACTATTATTACACCAGCAGACCCTCTGAGAACACCCAGAAACATACTCGGCCTCCACGGAAGCAAACAGTGCAAGCTGCGGATTCCACGCGCTCAAACACTATAAAACTGACAGAATCGTTCACTGTCTATAGCCGAGTACCTATTTCCACCTGGGTGAAGTGCCTTTCCCAAGGAAACAACGTCGAGCCCCTGACGGGATTCGAACCACGACCTAAAGGTCGTGAGTTCGAGAGCCTAACCACTAAATCCCCGACGCCATGGTGAAGACACTGGTTCTACAAGACCAACGTATAACACTTAAACAGCTCTCAAGTGAAATGATAATCAGTGTAAGGTCTCTTGAAAGGATTCTCCATAATCATCTTAACATGAATAAAGTGTCTGCGCGGTGGGTACCCGCCTTTTGAAAAGTGAGCAAAAGAAGCAGAGGGTTGAGTCCAGCAAAACCATCCTTTAAATTGGGTCCAATGACTCAAATTTCTTTAAAAAACATAGTGGCTATGGATGAAACATGGATTTATCATTTTGATCCAGAATACAAAATGTTCTCATGCAATGGTAAACCCCTTCTTCTCCCTCACCAAAGAAGACAAAGGTAACACCGTCAAGTGGAAAGGTCATGCTGTCGTGTTTCAGGGATTGTGAAGGTATCATTATGACTGACTACCTGGAAAAAGGAAAAGCAGTCACAGGAGACTACTACTCAGGTTTGCTGATAACATTGCGGTCTGAATTGGTTAGAACTGGGCGTGGAAAACTCCGTAATGGGGTCCTCCTATTGCATGACAACGCCCTGCGCACAAGGCACAACAAGTAGTCCAGACAGCAGAACAGTGTAGCTTTGAAATCCTGCCACACCAAGCTTATTCGCCAGATCTAGCCCCCCTCAGACTTTTTTCTGTTTTCTATTCTTTAAAAATCACCCTAAGGACGCAATTTCCATGACAACGAGGACGCAATTGGAGCTGTTGAAGGCTGGTTAGGGGCCCATTCTCGGTCATTTTTCTCTCAAGGACATTTGAAGGTCAAAGAGAGGTGGCAGATATGTGTTGCTCAGCATGGTGACTATATTATAGAGAAATAAAAGTATGTGCGCCAAGTTCCAAAGGTACATCTTTATTCCTTCATACTTAGACAAAAGACTTCTTGAACCACCTCGTACATCACTCGCGTTTCTTTTGTTGCAGGGTATACTATCGAAATAATATTATTGTATATATCAATTCTAACTTCGCTTTTAGAAATATTACTACTATTTCCACATAACCTAACGTTATACTAAGTCTTCAGGAGGCAAAACTGGTCGTCCCCTGATAACGTCAGCTACTTTTTCCGCCAACATGACGACATTCGCATGCGGATTGGCTGACACGATGAACGGCATCACCGACGCGTCAATCACTCGCAGACCAGCCACGCCCCTTACACGGAGGGCTGAGTCCACCACGCTGCTAGCGTCATTATCCCCGCCCATTTTACAAGTTCCCGACGGGTGGTAGATGGTGAGCAGAGTGGCCCGGATGTAGCACTCCCAGTAGGCGGGGCTGTCAAACTTATGCTGTCTGCACACGCTGATAGATTTGCTCTCTGTCAGCCGGGAGCCGATCTGGGCCATAGTTTTGCTCTTGACGACTTTCTGACAAATGTCCAAGCCTTTCATCAGCACGTCCATGTCTTCTCGCCGGCCCAGATAGTTGGCGTGGATTACGGGGTCGTCGAAGGGGTCACGGCTGGACAGACTGAGGTTTCCCACACTTCGGGGCTGGAGTAGGGAAGGCCGGCAGATCCAGCCGTACGGCGAGGCCTCTCGGTATGGAGTCAGCTCGTCTATGAGGTCAGGGTCGTAGTAGACAGCCCGCATCCCCAGACGGTTCATATAGCGGGAGTAGAAGTGGATCTGGAGGTCTGGCCAATCCAGGCTCCTGGCTCTTTCCGTGATACTGGGGCAGAGAGGAGGAGAGTTAGAGAGACAGCGAAAGAGAGAGAGGGAGAGGGAGGGGAGAGAAAGAAAGGGAGAGAGAGAGAGAGAGAGAGAGAGAGAGAGAGAGGGGGGGGGGGAGAGAGACGGGGAGAGGGGGAGTGAGAAAGAAATAAAGAGAGAGAGAATGAGAGAGAGAGGGGGGGGAGAGGGAGAGAGAGAGGGGGGAGAGGGAGAGAGAGAGAGAGAGAGAGAGAGAGAGAGAGAAAGAAAGAGACGTATCATATCATGACACACGCACACACACACACACACACACACACACACACACATACACACACATAAACACACACTCTCTCTCTCTCTCTCTCTCTCTCTCTCTCTCTCTCTCTCTCTCTCTCCCCCCCCCTCTCTCTCTCTTTCTCCAGCACACTCACCATACACACTCGCTCCCTGCCAATCTCTTTCTTTAGAAGTGCAGACAACAACGGTGGCTACCCATTGTCGCGAAGAAAAGTGGTCATCTTAGTCAGGATGACCTCTTTGACAGTGTCTTCATAATGATATCAGGGAACACATTCTAATAGGGGAGGGAGTGAAGGGTGGTTATTTATTTTTTTTACAGCTGATTGCTTTAAACATGGTCGGTAGAGAAGGCTCGACTGTATATTATTTTGAATTTGTGCTTGGTCTAAAACCAGAAACACAGAAAGTCGGGTACATGGTCAGCACACATAGTAAAAATAACTAACAAACAGTTACACAGAAAGTCAGGGTATAGTATGATGAGCACACCTTGTAAAAAACAGAAATTATACAGATAGCCAGGTTTATGAAGAGCACACCTTAAAAAAAAAGAAACAAAGTCAGGGTATCGAACACACATTGTAAACGAACAGAATCAGAGAAAGTAAGGGTATATTAGACTTTGTGAAAAACAGAAACACAGAAAGTCAGGGTATACGAACACACCTTGTGAAAAACAGATTCTCTTGGGCTGGTCTGCCCAGCGGTCCTGTGCCGAAGACAACGTGCTGGACATATGCCCACAGTGAGTCCGCGGCGCCCTCGTCCACAGAGATAGGCTGCGAGATGGCGATCGGCATGTAGAAGAACACATGATCCTGGAGGTTCTGACCCACGGGCAGGTCGGCCTTGACCTGGATACCAAGGTCACGTAACTGTCTGGCTGGCCCCACCCCGGACAGCATTAAAATCTGGGGCGTCTGTGGGGATCATATCATTGGAGTAAAATAATTTTGGAAGAAACACAAGGGATCAAAATATTTAAAACTTACTGAAAATTTGAGGCTTTGCGAATGAAAGTTTCACGTCCACATCAATATAATTTAGATTATTTTGAGGCCGGGTATTTCAACCCTTTCTGACAGGGCCAACCCGGGCAATGTGTTGTATTCTAACCTAGCAAAAATATAAAGATGCTCGATTCAGTTGGAGAGCCTTTTTCACTTTGGGGCAAATTGAGGTCACAGGTCAGGTTTAATTGCGTAATGTCTCGGGAATGAAGAGGGTCATGATGCTGCAATAGACCTGGGTTTATGACGTAGGCCTAATGGTTGATATCGTCTCTTCCTCACCACTAATTAAAAGAGCTCCATCTAGAATCTCCGTTTTTCTTATTATATAGTGGTATGCCCCACTCAGTTAGGCTTGGCCCTGATTGACAGGACATAAGCAGCCCATTCCCAAATTAAAAAATAAACTATCTATACTCTCCGTGGTAGCGTAGATGATTTATCAAAAGCTCCAGCTACAAATCATTCCAAAACCTCAAGCAAGATTAACCTTTACACTTCCCTGATTCATTGATATTTTACTACTTTGCTTTAGGGGAGGAAGTTACAGCTTATGCTGTTTGTTTATTCTTACGGAGGGGAACTATCTCTCATAACTGTCTAATAGACTATTCATTGTGGAGGAGAAAAATGGCCGTCTTAGATTGGCCACCATCTTTAACACAAAGATTATAAACATGTATATGTATTTATTTATTTTTTTGCAGGAGAACAAATTTTAATGAGAGAAGGCCCTTTTGTATTGGAGATTTTCTTATAAACGTGGCTGTTAAGAGTAGGTTTGACTGTATTAAACGAAGCTTGTTTGAGTGGTAAGGCGGAGAGCTCAACCATTACATCCAGGTCGGCGATCTTTGGCGCCGTCACAGCCCTTAAAGCAGGTTCCACGGAGGAGGGAGGGACACCAAAAGTAAATCTTTGTTGCAACGAATCAAGCTACCTCAAACAGGAATAGCAATGAGAGTTCTCTTACCTGGATGGCGCCAGCTGATAGGATGACCTCCTTCTTGGCCATGACCCGGATCTTCCGGTTGTCTTTGAGCACCTCCACGCCCACCGCCCGGTTCCGGTCATCGATGATGACCTTGAGCACGAAGCTGTGCAGACTGACGTGCAAGTTTCCCCTGTCCAGGATCGGGTGGATGTAGCCCCGTGCAGTACTCCATCTTTCTCGCTTGTACATACTCATCTGGGAGTTGCCGATTCCCTCCATAGTTCTGCCGTTGTAGTCCTTGTTGTACGGGTAACCGATCTCCTGGAAGGCTTGGATGATTTTGTTACTCATCTCCGAGTCTTTGCCCATGACGGACACGCGCATTGGTCCGTCCTTCCCGCGGAAATTGGAGGTGGCCAGGTGATCGTCTGCCACACCCTCGGATTTCTTGAAGTAGGGCAGGACATGGCGGTAGTCCCAGCTCTCGTCTCCCGTGTACCTGGAGGAGGGGGTGGGAGGGAGAGGGTAGGAGAGAGGGGAAGAGGGAGAGGGGAAGAGGGAGAGGGAAGATGGGGAAATGGAGTGGGTGGAACGGAATGGGGCGAGTTGGGATGATAGTAGAGGGGTAAGAGGTTGGGGAGGGCAGGGGTGGGGGAGGAGAAATTGAGGCTTGGAAGAGAGTTCAGTACTAGTTTCTTGTTATTTGAGGAACTGGTTTTAATTTTGTAAAAGGTTTACGGTATTTGCGACATAAATAAGTCAAATAAATGCGTAACACTTTATCAGTAACCGGATGTTCCATATGCTTAATAGGTTCTAGTTTCGTGCAATCCTTCTTTCATATAAAAACAATCTATGGTCCTTGTCAAGTCTCTTGTTTTGTATGCAACTCTCTGGTGACACCTCTAGTCTTTGGCACTTACATGACTTATTTGTGTTGCAAGTGCCGTAAAACTCTTGAAATTGAAAGGGAGCTTCTTAATTTACAACAGGGAAACAATCAGACATGCCTTCCTACAGATCCGAATAGTTAAAGATTGTGTCCCTTCATCGTAATAGGCTGTTGCCACGGAACAAAGAAAAAAAATAAACATACAAACAAACAGACTGTTGTACTCACTGCACCCATCTGCCATGGCTGTGTCTGGACCCCCTCACATGGAGCATACCGTTGACAAACAAACCAACAAGCAAGCAAACAAACAAACAGACTGTTGTACTCACTGCACCCATCTGCCATGGCTGTGTCTGGACCCCCTCACATGGAGCATACCGTTGACAAACAAACCAACAAGCAAGCAAACAAACAAACAAACAAAGAAAAAGACAAGTGTACGTACTGCGCCCATCTGTCAAAGTCGTGTCTAGACCCCCTCACATGGAGCATACCGTTGACAAGCAAACAAACAAACAGACTGGTGTACTCACTGCGCCCATCTGTCAAAGTCGTGTCTAGACCCCCTCACATGGAGCATACCGTTGACAAACAAACCAACAAACAAGCAAACAAACAAACAGACTGGTGTACTTACTGTGCCCATCTGTCAAAGTCGTGTCTAGACCCCCTCACATGGAGCATGCCGTTGACGCTGCTGGAACCCCCGAGAACCACGCCCCTGGGCCAGAAAGAACGACGTCCCTGGAGACCTGCAAACATCTCCTTCTGTGGCTCGCTGGGAGGTAGATAGATAGATAGATAGATAGATAGATAGATAGATAGATAGATAGATAGATAG